CCCCCCCCCCCCCCATGTAGGTCTCGCCATAAACATCATACTCCCTCCCGCCCCGCATCTCCCGCCCGCCGCCCGTCGGCCGCACCAACACGACCCCCCGACCCCCATACCCCTCCCGCACCGTACGACCGCCCGCCTGACGGCAAACCACACCACACCACACAGGACCGTCGACGTGATCACAGCACACCCACTGGAAATCTCTTTGCCTGACCACCTCTTGGTGGTCGTTGTGGGATGTGCCGTGCAGAATTGTTCCTGTGCGATTGGCGGGGGAAGGAGGCATGGATGGGCCCGACAGGTGCGTGGAGGGGAAGCCGAGAAGATCGGGCTGCGTAGGTGTGTTGCCGCCGAACCCCTTGCCGCCACTGTCGCCCTCTGCCGCCCCAGGCTGCCCATACAGGCTCCTCTGCATCTCAACCACACACCACACACCCATGCCAGGCAGTCCAGCGCACACACACATGTGATGTTGGTGTATCTGTCAGTCGGACCACGTTTGTGTGTGCGGGTAGTCTGCTGGAAGACGTCGCCTTGGGCGGCGGGGGAGCAGGAGTGCTCACGAGCCGGGCTGGTGAGCCTGAAGGAGCACATTCAAACTCTCTTCCCTCTCTTTGTGCGATTCGTCATCCACCTGTGGCATGAGATCAAGGGTGGGTGTCGGGGCGGGGCTGCTGGGGTGGTTCTGCCTGGCCTCCTGATGCTCGTGACCAGGAAAACAGGCCGGTATGCTGTGAAAAAAAGTCCTGAGAATGCTGCAGAGAAAGATCCGGTGCATAACAGCCATAAGCAGCCATTCCTCTGCTGCTGTCGCATCTCTCGTCGACCGACCTTCTGAAGGCGATTGCCATCGTCCGCAAGACGACGCTCATCAGGCTGGTGGCCCTAGTTCCGGCCTTTCTGCGTGCCGGCCTTTGCGTTGGCCGGACCCCTGTTGGTCGACATGTGTTCAGCCTTCTGGTCTCCATCGGGACATGGCAGGGTGCGGGAGAGGGAGTGCGCGTTTTGTTCGCTCACCTTCCTGTGGCATGAGTTCAGTAGAGGCGGTATGGCGAGAGGAGCCGTCGTGGAAGTGTAGAAGAGGAGCCGGATTGTGCGCATCCATACCGATGCATCGCCCCATGACAAAGACCCTCGTGGCTTTCCGAAGAGGCGAATCGCTTCCAATTGATCGCTTCAAAAACATCACTCTTGTCAGAAGCTGGCAAGGAGCTGCCGTCGGCTCGTGCGTACAGTTCACCGGGTTGACGGAGCTGAGAATATTGGACTTGATGCCGAAAAGCCCCCCGTCTCCCGCGTCTCGATTCTCGCCAATTCTCGGCCAGGTTGCAAATGCTGTCCAGATCTCGGCTGACCCTCTTCTCTCTTTTCTTCTCTCTTCTCTTCTTTTCTCTCCTTTCTGATGATAACATACTAAGTACCTCTCCTGAATGAAAGGCAGCCGGTCTGGAGGACCGAAGGAGGCGCCGCCTCAGGGTGTTGCTGGAGGGGCACG